TAACTTAACCGAATCGGCCAAACAATCATTCGGCTAATTTTTATCAGGTGTTTCAGGAATTATGATAATAGCTGTAATATATACTACCTTCGGGATTTTCCGATCGGGCTAATTCAGAAAAGCTTAGACCAGAATGCCAGTTCTTATTCAAGATAGGTCATGGTAAAAAATGTCGAGATCACAAGATCAACGATCTTTCCGGCCACCTTGACTTGATGAATCATATATTACACAAAATCTACGGTATTAAAAATTATAAATAATAAAAATATATAAATTATCGTACATACTCCGAGTGGTCGGAAGCGATCGTTTGGTCTTGTGATCTTGCCATGGCTAACCTTCATTATTCGTATGTAAATCACCTTTTTATTGAATAAACTGTCGACATTCTGTCTAAACTTTTCCGAACTAGCCCGATTGGAAAATCCCGAAGGGACAGTTTTTGTTTTTTTTTTCATCAAGTCTTCAAGGTTTCATGCTTTTCGGGAAAGTATAAAATTACAAGAGATGTTAGTTAAAGAGTTGAAACAAACAAAAAAAAAAACACAGAAATATAAAAACTGGTACCGGTCCCGGTACCATTTCAAAATCACCATTTACAGTGCAATTTCATGTTCCCTGGAAAAGTATAAACCAACAAGAGAGAGAATGAAAGTATTGATTGAAGAATTGAAACAAAAAAAAAAACACCATACAGAACCTGATATTTCTATCCCAGTACCTTTCAAGACCACCACTTACGGGCAATTTTATGTTCCCAGCGAAGTATAAACCAGAATTGAAACAAGCAAACAAAAATAAAAGAAAAAGGTACTTCCGTTATATCATATCATTCTCGGTACCCTTCCAAGCGTGATTTAATGTTCTTCGACAAAGTATAAACCCCTACAAGTGAGATAATAAAGTTATTAGCTTAAGGATTGAAAAAACAAACACACAAAAAAAAGTATAGAAACTTACACTTCTGTTATACCAGTTCCAGTACCCTTCCAAGATTACTATTCCGGGTAAAGTATAAAATTACAAGAGAGAGAATGAAAGCGATAGTTTAAGAATAGAAACAAAAAAAAAACACATTAATATAGAAACTGGTACTTCAGTTATACCAATCTCAGCACCCTTCCAAGATCACCATTTCCGGTGCAATTTCATGTTCCCCGACAAAGTATAAACCTACAAGAGAGAATAAAGTATTAGTTGAAGAATTGAAACAAATAAAAAAGTATAGAACTGGTACTTCCATTATCAGTCCCGGTACCCTTCCAAGATCACCATTTCCGGCGCAATTTCACATTCTCTGGCAAAGTATAAACCTAAAAAGAGAGAGAAGGAAGAATTGAACCAAACAAACAAAAAAAAAACACAATAATATAGAAACTGGTACTTTTGTTATACCAGTCCCAGTACTCTTCCAAGATCATTTCCAGCACCATTTCACATTTCCTAGCAAAGAATAAACCTACAAGAGAGAGAAAGGAAGATTTCTATCCAAGGATCCGAAACGATGTTATGCCTTAACATTTAGGACCGAAATAAATACCTCATAAATAAAAAGGATATTTTTAACTTGAGCATGCTGAAAATGTACAGTACTAAAAATGAGAATTGAGATCGGGACCTTATATTACTGTATTATGTTATATAAAAAAAACTATTTATATAAAAACCTTAATTTTATATAAAAACCTTAATTTTAATAAAAACCTTAATTCAATTAAACGATCACGCGAATGACATCACGCATAGTGTTTAGCTTAGTCAGATTGGTCATATGATTATTTAAAAATCCATCACTCATTGTCCAAAGATTTTTGGGTGAAGCTTTTATGATTAGATAGTTATCAAAAAAACTTCACTCAAAAATCTTTGGACAATGGAAATATACAACACTAGATATCTGATATATGAATAACATGTACGTACAGTACGTAATTTCATAGATAGAAGTTTGTCTAATTTGCACAATATTACAATACTAAAACGAAAACTTTAAGAAAAAATTTATACCGGTAAAAAGGCTGATTATATACGTACAAAAAATAGGTAAATATGTATAAAGAGGAATAAAAGCGGTGTTCAACTAGAAAAACAACCGGAACTAACTAATCTAAAGAATCCAAACTCATATCTACGATCTATAAACCCAAACTTAAAAACAAAACCAATTTAAGAGTGTCTTAAACCTGGATTTCTTATTGTAACAAGCTTATTCTGCTTCAAAAACCAAATTTGAAATTTCAATCTCTAAAAAAAAAATCACTATTTTGTTAGTAACTATTTTTTTTTTGGTGTGTGTTAAAATTCAGACGAAGGCTCTTTTTTCTTTACCTAGTTTAGAAGCTAATCTCTAAATAAGAGATTATAAAAGATTAATTTTAAATTTGACTTTCTAGCACTCTTGAAGCTAGAAATAATGTTTGCGATAATTTTTTCGTCCTTAAAAGTACTTTAAAGTGTACTGTATAAATAAAATCAATGATAATAACATAACAGGGGGAACCGTGATAGTATACTATAATGATGTATAATAATAGTAAAAAAATTATTTATCAGACATGTTCTTTAAGCATTTTATTAAACTAGAAAAATGGCGATGTTTCATAGGCTGGAGCCTCAATTCTTAGGTCTTACAATTTATATAGAATTAAATTTAAAATAGTATATAATTAAATTTTACGAATTCCTATTATTTTTAATATTATATTTATAATAAATTCATAAAGAAAGTGATCTTTGTTCTTCTATTAATCTTTGTTGCAAATGTGCACTTTGTCCTAATTTTTTGTAATATGTCAAAAGAGAATGCACTATCAAAAAGAAGATCGTTAAGGGTACGACCCTTGATATACCTACAAATGTAAGACCTGTTGCAAATTCTTTATTTCCAATATTTATAATAATGTCAAACCTTGTAATTTATGAATTGTAATTGTCCAGGCAAGACATAATTGAAACTGTATACGAGAGCAAATACCAAATTTTCCCTCTCAAGTGTATTTGATAGGTCGAATTGGTACTACTTGATTGCTATTTTTTGTAAATCCAATTTAGTATCGTTCTGTAGCCGTGCAATACCAAAGATAAGTTCCTCGTACTATGTGTAAGAGTATATAAATTGAATTATTAATTAGAACAAAAACTGACTAATTTATTCTTTTACTTTACTCTTGAATTACATTATTTACGTAATTTTTCAAAAACTTACATATATTTCCTGTATGTTACTATATAATTCTTAATTAAACATTCAATTATTATCACACCTGTCATTACTTCTGTACTTAATACACCATATCGATACACCCGATCCCGATTGATTGCCCCAGAGACATTATTACTACAATTTCGACTCTCACTATTACTCCCACTTTAATAGACCAATATTTCGTTTCTTATTTATTTTAACGAATTTTTTCACCTCATTCCAAATAGTTAATTTTATCTAACATGCTTGAGATCAAAAATACATATTTTTATTTGATTTATGTGTTTTATAAAAATTATTTTTACCCATGTATTTTAAAAGTCAACTGCAAAATTTTATTTAATTTTATTTAATGTTCTTATTCAATGTATAAAAATTTTCATTGTTATTTTTGTTACAATGATTTTAAAGTCAGCAGCTACATTTTAAATTAACGGTTTAGTATCCAAAATCGAACCTAATTTTAGGTTCAATTTTTGGATTCTGAACCTAAATCAGGACCAGCTAAACCAGGAGCTGGACATTTCTAAAAAATCGTAGAATATGGCTTTAAGACTTCCACTTCGTTTCCCTCAGCTTCAGCCAATAATATGCTTAGTCAGTCTTAGTTTGTTGCCAAAAGTGGGAATTGAACCTCAGTGTGTTGCTAGAAGTGGAGAGCTGAACAGAAAATCCTCGGTGTTGCTGGGAGTGGCTCGGTGTGTTGCTAGAAGTGAAAACTGAACAGAAAATCCTGTGTTGCTGGGAATGGGTATTGAATCTCAGTGTGTTGCTGGAAGTGGAAATTGAACTCAGTGTTGCTGGAAGTGAGAATTGAACAGAAAATCCTTGGTGTTGCTGGAAGGGGAGAAATCCCTTGAAACCGGGCTACGATGGTGCAACTTTCAAGAGCCCACTTGACCTATTGAATAATTATAACTTTTTTTTAAATCTAACATTATTTTGGGATACTAGCACGTGTGTATTTATACTCCCAAAGCTTCATTACTTTTTGGTTCTTAACCGTATTAACCGTTTAATTTAGCCGGTAGTAAAATTATTTTGGTCTATATACAATAAAAATAATTCGGTCTACTATAAATTTTTTGTGCGGGATCTCCAAAATTCCGGGTCAGAGGATGATCAGCCATTTAAAATTTAGCATTAGAGGAATATTTCTTGCATTTACTAATTTCCCCCCAGGTTTTTTATTGGTCGTTGTAGATCCCATCTCTGATTGGCCGACTACATTAATGTTTATCAGCATCAAAAATAAAAATTTTTAAAATTTGAGCGAAGATATCTTGACAAGCATCTAACCAAATTCAACAAACTTTTTTTTATTTGAATTCTATGAATTCATAGAATTCAAATAAAAAAAAAGATCATCAAATTTAGTTAAGTA